CCGTGCTCACCGTGAGCAATTAGCAGAGACCTGCCTCAGAAACGCTGCCTGTAACGGAAGGGAAAGGCTGTCTACAGTGGCTCTAGCAACCCAGGCTTGTATTTAAACATTTCATTTCCATCACGTGCAGGCTCATGGCTTTATCAAACTTCCCGATTCCAGCTCAATTTTCTGGTTCTGGGGTTGTTGCTTGGCTACAGAGACAATTCCTGCCTCTCGCTGCTCCCGGGAGTGCTCTGGTCATGTCCCACAGAGGGAGGGACTGCGTTGGCTCCGGGGGGCCACGGTGGCACAGGGGGGTACAGGCAATCTGTGCCACACACTAAAACCAGTATTACCTAGTTGGGATGCAGGGTACCCTTACCTCATTGTTAACATCACATGTCTCAAAAGCCAGGGTGGTGTTTTCCACAGTGATGCATCTTGCTGTGGCTACATTAACAATCTAGAAAACAGCACCAAAACACAAGTTTAGACATAAATTCCCAAGCACAGGGCAAGGCTGGTGCACTGCAGTTAACCTGCTGGGTGCACAGGACACCCACGCTGCCCACCGCCGTGTCGTGGTGTAAATCACCATCTGGACGACTACAAATATTTTTCTACTGAGAGAAGCTGGAAACTAATAATTTCCAGCCACGTTCAAGGTCACGTCACCGATTCCTTGCAAACTTTGTTCCTTCTCTTCCAAAATTTCTGAAGAACTCATGTGTGAATCCCGGTGAATAAACAGGCTATTCAGAAAACAGTTCTCAAGTAACTCTGGATAGCGTTTGGCACAGCTGGAATTTGCAGAGCTAGATGAAAACCAGATTTTTCTGCCCTACTCAATTTTGAGAATGAAGATAAAAGCGTGATTCAGGTGGCCTGAATCGGGACAAAGCAAGACATCTTGAAAACTGTCACAAACACCTCTGGAAAGTTGAGGTGAAAGCGAGGTCTCTCCATACGGTCTAACTGCTTTGCACTGAATTTGATGTTAAGATTTATTGCTCGGACTGAAACAAAAAGGCTGAAAAAGTGACTGTTTCTCAAGAAATATCGCATTTTCTGATGTCCTCAAGACTACTGCTGCTAATTCTTTTTAGCTGATGTTTCATGGAAGCCTTTGGCCTAATCCGGTGCTTTCTGAAAGCCCCAGCAGACAGCCCTCACTCACACTGAGACGGACGGGTGAATCCAAATGGATCCACTGCTCGGAATCCGTGGAACCACCCCAAACCACCCGCCTCCTGCAGCTTTTCCACCAGCGTCCCGAGGCTGCCCAGAGGAAGCACAGCGTTGCTCTCCAGAGAGCTGCCCCACACACCTTCACAGCTCCAGCAGGAAAGTGACGGCCCGGCGGCGGGCAGAGAGCCTGGCTCCATCCCGAGGGACCCCTGGGATGGCAACCTGCGTGTCAGGGCCCACAGACAAGCCTGAAAGGCGGCCCAACGCTCGCCGTGCCTTCTGCTGGCTCCCCGCAGGGCCGGCGGTGGCTGGGGGCCGTGCGCCCCGGCAGGGCCCAGGGCATGGCAGGGCTCGCTCTCGCCCCCTGGCCATGCCAGCCCTGCGGTCACTGGCCCCTGGCCACCTCCTCTCAGCAAGTGCCGCTCCTGCCGTGGCACTGGGAGACGGGGATGGGTGGGGAAGGCAGCAAATCCTTTAATTTTCATTCCTGGCATTGCTGTAATTTTTCTGACAAACCAAGTTATTTTACTTTTGCTATTGCAATTATAACTAGCATGCAATCAGTGTTGTATCTTTTCTCGGCAGAACATTTGAGGTTTGTGAACATTCAAAGCAGTAGATGATGTTCTGCTGGGCCAAATTCAGAACCCATGTTTTAATTCTTGTTTAATTCACCTTTTAATGTTGGTGAGGCGACGCTGAAGACCTGTGGAGCTGCGGCACAAGCAGGACCCAGTGCCAGGGCACACCAGGAGCTCCCCAGCGGTGGAGGAGAAACAGAGCCCGACCCGGCTACGCTTCCCACCCGGCCAGCAAGGGGCTTGCGGGGGCAGGACGGAGGATTTAACCCAAAACGGGACTTTTTAGGGGCTGCTGCCCTGCCCTGCCCGGCTGCAGGCAGCGTGGGGAAAAGCGGGTTTGTGCTGCGCTCTGCTGGCAGCAGAGCACCGGTGCAAACCCTGCCCGTCCCTGCGCCCTGCGCCCTGCCTGCGCTGCCCGGGCACCGCTAATCCACCCCCGGAAAGGGAATTTCTCTCTCCTGACGTGGGCAAACCGCTGGGCAGGTGGGGAGGGTGCTGGAACCCCCGCCTGGAGCGCCCCCGGGTCAGGACTGCTGTGCCGGCTCTGTCAGCGCTGAGCTGGCTCTTTAGTGGGAAATAATCTCCTGGAATTGTGCCCTATTTCTTTATAAAAACACGGGCGGATCCAGACCACCGTGACACGTTAAATCCACAGAAATGTTACCAAATGCCAGGGAAAGCAGCTCCAAGACAGCACACCGGGATGCTACCGCGTGCCTGGCCGCCCCAAAAACATGTTTTCATGTTTTGAAATCAATGAAGATCGTTTGGCTACGTACCAGCCCGCTGGCTTTAACCAGGGGAGCTTCCAGGTCCGGGTAGACGTTCTCCAGGTACCACCGGAAACTTTTGCACCGAAGCTTCTTTCGCAGCTGGATTTGTTGAGTCAGGTCGCCAACATCCAAGTTTTTCAAGACTAAGTGGTAAGCGTGGCCGTAGAATAACTCCTTGTACTCGTCCAGCCAGACCTCCGCAACACGGGCCAAGTTCCTCTCCACTGTTCTCACCCGATCTTTCGGGAAGGAATAAGGATTGTCGTTCCTGAAAATGTGCCCAACTCTAGAGCACGGAACAATCTCAATCTCTCCCCCACACATCCAGACCTGAGAAACAGAGGTTGCTTTGATAGAAACACGGGCAAATGTTGGGTGCTGGCTTTGTGGAAGCCAGAAGAGAAGCAAGAGGACTGCCAGGAGGGACGGGGAGCCCCCGGCTGAGGCCCTTTGCCCCAGCCAGGCTGGCAGGGATGCAGGCGTGAGGGACGGGCTGCCGAGAGCGATGTACCTTGAATGAAATCTCCATATTTTCACCTCCCCAAACATCCAGTCCTGGGTCGTATGCTCCCAGCTCAAAAAAGTACTTCTTATCGATGGAGAACAGGCCACCTGCCATGACAGGGCACCTGGGAACAGAGAAGCCCCACAGCACGTCGGCTGGTTGGGAAACACCCGTCCCTTTCCCCTTGCTTCGATGAGAGAATGGCTGAGAAGCTGTGGGCTATGAAATGCTCGGGGGGGTGCGTGAGCCTGCACCTACAGAGACCGTCTGGACCCCCCGATGCGTCGCTCTGCTGCAGGCTGGCAGATGCAGTGTTCAAACTGACGGTATTTGGGTGGTTTTACCCAGCCTGGAAGCCGTAATGGGGCACAGAAGGGAACAGGCAGTGGTACCTCCCCCAGCCCTGGTGGCACTGGCTAAATGCCGTCGGTGCCGCGGGGGCAGAGAAGGGCTCGCTCAGCTTTGTCCACGGCTGGTGATGCCCACACTGATCACTGCCCGTCATCCTTACAACCAAAGGAAAAGCATGTGGCCTGGAAGGAGCCTTTGTTCTGAAATCATTAACAGTTTGGTTCACAGAGCTCTCACCTTTGCTTTTTTTACCTTATTATATCCGTTTCCTTGATTTTATTTTTCTCAATGACCTCTTGTGGAATCTGCCTCCATCCAAAATTCATCGGCCAAGTGAAAATCCCACGCTGAAAGTTGTCCACAGTCATGTAACTAAACAGGGAAAAGATTGGGATGACTAATTCTGAGTCACATTCCTGATTGAAATGTCACCCTTAATGAGTGAAGATGAATATCTGTACATAATCAAAACAAGATTTTAACAAATTTCATCAGGAATCCTCATCATGTACTAAAAGTCAAGAAAAAGGGAAAAAAAGTGTGGGTGATAAATGAAGGGGCCACATCCACAGCCAGTGTTAGTTCCTGGTGTACAGCAACGTTACATATCCCTCGTGAAACGCTGCCGAAGGCCAGTTAGGGGGTCTGGATCTCTGTCTTCTTGTAATTAATATGTTGGAGGTCCCAGGAAGAGGTTTTGCTCAAGCCACGGACACGGACTTGGGGTTTCCCAGGGGCGTGAGCCACCTCACCTCATGTCCTTGTCGCTGATGACCTCGATGACGGGGCAGGCGACCTTGGCCCGGCTCAGGCGGACCCTCTCCAGCAGCGGCTCCAGCCAGCCCACGTTGCACTCCACGTGCGAGTCCAGGAACGTCAGGACGGCGCCTGAGGCAGAGGCCGGGGTGGCATCAGGCCTTGGGCACTGCTGCCCTCTGTCGCCGGCCGGCCTCCCCGCGGGCTCGGGGGGCTGCCGACAGTGCCATCCCACTCCCTGGCTCCCCAAAGCCTCCCGGCCGTAGCTTGGAGCCTGTGGAGTGAAGCTGGGGGACACGGCTGGGGGGCCGCTGGCTGGGGCCGTGCTGAGGGATGCTGTACCCTGTCCCCGTGCCAGAGCCTCGTGCTTCATGCACCAGAAAGGTGCCCTGATCTCACCAGGAGGGGACTAAAGCTCCACGCTGGAGACGGCTCATTGGCACCTCTGCGGGGCGGGGGGAGCAGGCAGGGCTGTAAAATGGCTTTTGTCCTACCTTTGGCGATCTGCGCTCCCGCCAGCCTGGCCCGTATCAGCCCATGCCTCTCCGGCAGGTGGAGGATCTTCACTTTCGGGAAGCGCGACATGTATTTGTCCAGCTTCTCCTTGAGGTACTCTGCAGAGGGGAAGGAGAGGCTGAGGTTGACTTATCCACTTCACACCTGTGACGGGTGGGGGTTTGGTGCTGGGGGCTCGCCACGGGCTGCCCCCGTGCCCTGGCTCTGTCCCCCAAAGGAGAGGCTGCGGGTGGGGGCATCACCTCCCGCTCCCGGCATGGCGGGCGGCCACTTGGCATTGGCACCAACCCAGGGGACACAGCAAAGGGGCACCCGTACCCGGTGGGTGATGGCTGCACACAGGAGACGTGGAAAGTGGAGAGCAGCAAGCGCAGAGCTTTGGGGGTTTTTTGCCAAGCCAAGGCTTTTTTGGCTTTTTTTGCCATGAGCAAAACCCCAGTGGCCCCACTCGGGTAGTTCATGATCCAAACCCGATATTGAACGATTGTTCAAAGACTCCAAAATGATTTTTTTTTTTCTTAATTGCACTATAATTGCAATTAAAATCTGGCTGTGAAGTGTTCTTTGCATAAAAAAATATTTCTTTTGTGCTCTACAAATGTCTCAATCTTAATCACCACATTTAAAGACTCAGCCCGGGTTTAAACTGCAGGAGGGTTTGCTATGGCATGTCTCTACTTTTCAGGTGCTTTTGTCATGGTTCCGCGTAGCTGCGGAGGCAGCTGGTGGCAAACTCTCAGGAAAGAGCAGGGCTGAGAAAGGTGCCAGGCTGACGCGTTGCTGGGCCGTCTCCCTCTGGCAGAGGAGCCAGGGAGCCTCTGCCACAGTGCTGCCAAGCGCTTTGTTCGGAGACAGCCACCCACTGACATCGTTCGCTCTGCAGGGAGGACCCCTGACCTCCCCCACCTTCACTGATTCTCTTCAGTTTTCTCCAGGAGAATATGACTGTTTGCATTTCAAAAGCCAGATAAAAGCTTTGACAGACTCCAAAGGTGGAATGTTTGTGGACACGTTTGCTGTAGGTGACTGCTGCTGCTCCCCAGGTCACAGCAGCGCTGAGCACAGCTCCCCAGAACCCACCCGCACCCGCACGGTTTCGGCTGCAAACTCAGCGTTTCACTCCCTCACTAACGAGCAGACACAAAGGGAAGCCACGGGAAGAAAGCAAAGAGGAAACTTGAGAAAATGCTTTGGAGGGGAAATTGTACAAGTGTGTTTTAATGATTATTTTATAAATGAGCAAACTGAGTGTTTTTCCTCTTTTTTGAACCTAGTCTTGTTGCACTGTGGGCTCTTTGCAAGCGTGGCACGAGCTCTGAAGCTCGTCTGAGACAGCACTTTCCCCGAAGAACCAGAAGTTGGAAAATTACATCATTCCTGAATTTTTAAGGGCTGAAGTCAGCGGAGCGCTGAGGCGTTACAAGGCAGAGGTCCGGTATCATCTGAAACGCCGGAGCTGGCCCGCAAAGCCGCTGTGCAGGCGCAGCTGCCCGGCTCACCGCTGCTTTTACTGCGACCGCTCCGTTTTCTGAGCAGCCGGGCAGCGCGTGCGGTGCCCCCGCGGCCGCCACGCAGGGGGGTACACCCAGCGACGCCCCGCTGCAAACACAGCAGCCAGCTGGGATGGGAGAGGCGGGAGCGATAAAGGCTGGCAGGGTCTCAGGCAAGAGGTGCACCTCCATTTCCCCACAGCCACCCCCCAGTACCCATCTGGCCTCTGAGCCCCCTCATCTGGAAAGGTAACAGCGCAGGGACGCGCTCCAGCCCGCCCGAAGGAGAAAACATGATTTCTCTCTACTATTTAGAATTGAATTGCAGAGTACAAATCATATTTTGGCCTCAAATTGTATTAGTTTCATAAAGGTAGAAGATTCACCCACCTTTAGTGCTGAAGTCATCCACCAAAATGACCTCTTGGATGAGATGCGGAGGAGATCTGCTGAGGACGCTGTGGACGGAGCGGAGGAGGGTGGACCACACTTCATCCACGAAGCACATGATGATGGTGGTGGTCGGGAGGTCGTCATGAACCCGCTGCTCCGAGCACCTGCAACAGCAACATGAGCTGGCTGAAAATCTCCCAGCTTGGTGTTTCTTTGGAAAACGCACAGGGAGGGGGGAAAGGCCAAATGGGAAATACGGAAGCAAAGCCCTGCACTGGGATTTTGTCAGGAGAAGGAGCAGAGGGGCGAGCGGGGGAACTCCCCCCACAGCCCCAGGGCCGCTCTCGCGGGCAGCCCCGAGCTCCCCCCTTTCCAACAGGCACCTCATTTCATCCCGGGTTATGATCCCTCCTCTCCGTGAGGAAACAGTGGAAGGGCCCCGGAGCCAGGCGGATCCCAGCTCTGCACCACTGGTCTCAGGGCCTCCTGCGGGGTCCCGCAATGCTCCGAGCACCCACAAGCGCTTGGGACCGCGGCTGCGTGAGACAGCCTCGTCGTAAGAAAAAACTGGTATAATGCTCAAAACGCAGGGAAATGGCCATTTGTTTCCATGGACTCAGCGCAGCGACCTGTCAAACATTCTGACAGCAAGGAAGAGTCGCCCAGTCCGACCCCTGCACCTCACTCAGGGAACCGCAGAGGACGGGAAAACATTCAAACATCTGAATTTCTGGTGTGACGGTGCTGGCGGGTCCGCTCCCTCAGCACCCCGTATCTCGGGCCCGCAGCACCCACGTGTCCCCCGCGACGCCGCGGCCTGGCCGGCCGTGCCCCCAGCCCACGCTGCTTCAAACAGCCAGCGGAACGCGCCAGCGGATCCCAGCAGTGATAAACTTTCTCCCGTGTCTACAGCTTTGTTATTTTATTCTGTGACAGCCAAAAATGCAACGGCTGGGTCAGGCCTGAGTCTTCAGTGTTTGAACAAAAGGTCGACGAGCAGCTTTTCTCATGTCCCATTTGCAATTCAAGCAGCGCTCGGCTGCCGGCCTTGGGGAGCGGGGCTCCCTCAGCTCTGCTATCTCCGAGCGGATCTCCAGGCCTGCAGAACGCCTGGCAGAGCGCTCCTCTCCCCCGCGCTGCCTGCTCGATCCCAGGGTACCCACGAACTGCCGGGACCTGCTTTCTCTCTCTTGTCACTAAGTCTGATAGCCACTTTTTCTCTCTTGTCCTTCCAGAGCAGACCTCCCACAGGCAGGACAGGCGCCAGCCTATCTGTGCACACAGAAAATTAATTTCTCAGGATGAATCACAACAGAGAGTAAACAGGGACAGGTATATGGGAATATATGGAAAACTGACTTCTTTTTCTCTGCCTCAATGCACGGGCCCTCGGGTTTGGCTGGAGCTGGCTCAGATGGCAATGCCAGGGCACTGCACAGCTCAGACCATGTGGTGTTTTGAAGAAAATTCAGAGTATTTCAGGGCTTTGCAGCTAATCAGAAGTGCTCTGGGCAAGTGCAAGTAACTCCTGAGTTACTCTCTGTCGCAATCCTTGGGATGTGTCTTTCCATCTCCTTCCACAGCCTGGTTCACCCCAGGCAGCGGCCAGGCCTGGCTCAGCCAGGCGGGGATCGCTGCTTGACGGGGTTTGGTTGGAAACCACAGGGGTGTTGGCCCGTGGTGATGGGGCCTCTCTGCGGCGTGGGGGCTTGGCCTGGGCTTGCTGGCAAGGAGACAGGACGAGGGACAGCTAAACTAGGAGAAAAGAGATGAAATGTAGTTGCTCCTACAGTGAACACAAGGAGGCAGCTCACGGGGGGAGGAGGGACAGAGGCCGTGGATGAGGCAGGAGACAGCTGCTGGGCACAACAGCTTCCACTGCATGGCGAGAGGGACGTGAGGGCACCTGGGGAACGCGGCTGAGACCCCGGCCGTGGCGGCTGCGTGCAGCCAGGCACTACCTGCTGCGAGGAATCCTCTCTTCACCCTTCGTTAGCAGCAAATGGGCTGTTGGTCAAGGCCTGTGTGTACCCCGGGCAGCTGGAAAGCATCCGCACGAGGCTGACGGGAAACCTCAAACTGAGGAACATCTTCTGCTTTCTTGCCTAAAAAAGTACTGTTTCTAGGTGGAGCGCGATGACTTTGGTATTGCTGACCCCCAGTTAAAAATATTTCACACTGTCCTGTGTGAGTTTGGGCTCCATTTCTGTTGCCATCGCCCTGGAAATAGCAGAGTGCAGGTGTTTGAGCTGCGGCTCTGGGTTCCGAGCTGGGGAGCAGCCTGGCGCTGCCCCAGCTGCAGGGGTGCCCGGCGCCCGCCTCCCGCAGCCAGGTCCCCCCCGCGCCTGCCGCCTGCTGACTCAGCCAGGCCCTACCGTGCCACGCACCGTGAGACACTTTTTTGTGCCAGGCCAGGAAATGTGGGTCCCTGTCTAAACCTGGGTAAGTTGATGTCCCAGAGAAAGGACCTTCACTGCTGGTGCCGCAGCATTGGGCTGAAATGGGGTCCAGGGCCCCGCAGAGCCCCGGGCCACCCCCAGCCTTCCCCCGAGGGTCCCCCCTTGGTGGCACTCCTCCTGCCTGCATTCTGCCTCCACACAGGGGGCGGGCACCAGCACGGTGAGTAAAGCTCGGGAAGCAGCTGGCATCGCACCCGGACAGACTGAAGGCTGTGACAGAACAAATCTGTTGGCCAAATTTCAGCGGCCTAGTCCAGCACTTCAGAAAGGATCGAGAGAGAAACTGGGGTCGGAGCTGGGAGAGACTGGAAGGATCCAGCAAAGAAGTAACGTGCTGTTTGACCCCCGAGAGCTGCCAACAGCCCCGAGCTGGCCCTGACGGCCGATCTCTGCCGTGCGAGGCTGAGGGCAGAGCCCCACAGGCTCCTCCAGTGCCGGGGTGCCCAGGGGAGCTCCCCATGCCCTGGCAGCAGCAGACGGCCACGGGAAGCGCCGGCGGGGACACACCCGTGTTTGGCCAAGGCGTTGCGGGTGACGCGGCAGTGCCGGCACCTCCCGGGCAGGAGCAGGATTCACGGGAGGCAGCCTGCGCTTACGGGCGCTCCCGGGAGGTGGTTTCTGCTCCAGGGCTTTGCTGTCAAACACCAAACCATGGTGCTCGGTTTGGAGCCACCGTGGCTCTTTTTCCGTGTGCCAGTGGCTTCTGTAGCTGGCATCCTCTGCCGACCAGAAAGCTCCCTGGCTGTGTCCCTCCTCCCCTGCCCAGCTCTGCCCACGCAGGGCCTCCCCCCAGCTCACAGGCGAGCACCGACAGTGCCATGGGCACAGCTACATGTGGTCCTGTGGGATGGGGACCAACCACGGCACGGCTCCCACCGCACCGTGCCTGTGGTTTGCGAGCAGGGGAAGAGGGACCCACTTCCCCCTTCCTTTTCCGTGGGACCACAGGGAGTATTTGTCTGAAGGGAAACACCGAGTTTTGCAGAATCAGCTGCTCATTGCACGGGACCAGCTGCAACCGAACGACACTTTTCCAACCCAAAAACTCGGTGTCCCACCCCGCGTGTGCTCATGGGTCCAGGTCTCTGGAGTGGGCAGCAACCGCAGTGCTCTGCAGCACGAAGGATCGCTCCTGGGGTCGCTGCAGGCCGGTGCATGTGCCCGTTTAGTCATGTCAGAGCGTGGCCTTGTCTCCTGCGGAGCCCCCTGTGGACCCTTGGGGCAGGGGAGGCCGTAGGGTGCCTCTGCCTCGAGGGAAGGCCAGTGGCAGCTTGCGGGTGGGAGAGCACCCCAGGGGCAGGGCGGGGCTTCTGCTGCTGAGACGAAGTGTTGGGGTGCGGGAGTGCCCCAGGAACCGAATGCACAAATACCGAAAGCAAACAGTGCTCAGCGCTGCGCCTGAGAAACCAGGTTTTAAGGCACAAAGAGGCCAGAGCCCTGCTGCCCGCCTGCTGCGCCCCAGGCTCTCTGGGCAGCAGGGCTTAGCAGGGTAAGACAATCTGCAAAGTTTGCCCAGTTTTCGGTTTAGTAACAAGCTTCTCTAAGCTGGGAAGGCGAACGCTGCCCAACAGCCCGCCCCGGGAGCCACCGAGCAGGTTCCCAGGGCTGTGGCGCAGGTATTTTGTGTGAGAGAAGCAGATCTTACCCGGCAGGCCTGGTGTCCGCTACGGCTCGGTCTACGGGGATCAGATCGCTGAGGTAGACATTGAAGTTTCCTTCTTTCCATCTGCTTTTTGCTTCTTCTTGTTTTCCGTCAGGGACTGCCACAGGGTGCCCAAACTGGCCGGGAGCTTGGGGGTCTCTCGGGGCAAGTGTTGCATCCACCGACAGGACCCTGTGCGTTCCGGGGCTGCTGCCCGCTGCCTGCTCCTGCCTGTCCCTGCCAGCGGCCGCTGCCCCCCCGGGGGCTGCTCCTCCAGCCGGTGACCCCTTGGGGGCTGCTCCTCGAGATGTCCCCCTGCGGCCCTCCGGCCCCGCAGCCCCGGGGACGGCGTGGGCACCGTTCTCACTGGCGAGCTGCTGCTCTTGGCGCTTTCCTTGGCGCTGCGCGGCGGTCCCGGCAGGGTGGGCCCCGAGGGCGGGGGCGCCT